GCGTACCTGGTTTTATTTCCCACGCATTGATTACCATTAATTAAACCGCCGACTGTGCAACGGGGTCACGTCCGATTCCTCAGGGAAGAGAAGAAAATGGCGCGAGAACGATCGCGGGGCCGCGTTGAAAGCGACGATTTCATCGACCACGAGATTTCATCGTCCCGGACACGTTTATAGCTCGCGTGAACGATCGGTGCGAGCTGTCTGCGATATTCCACGTAGTCGACGCGTGTCGCGCAAACGCATCATCTGGGAAGCTCGTAATGCCTATGATGAAAGGACGAAACGTCGATTCACTCGTATACGGCAATATCTCGGGATACTTTTAATTAACCGGCAGACGGGTGATTAACCAACTCGCGATTGACCGGTCAATGAGCTCGATATTCCGGCATAAAGAGACGTTTCATCAGGTTTGGATCGACAGTCGCGATCGAAACGTCGCGGTTTCCGGGACGATGCTCACCCTCTACTTTCTCCGTCTGTTCCCCGCAGATCGGTGACCGGAGCCGACAGGACGAAAGCCTCGGACCCGTCACGAGCGGCGGACAGAGTGAAAAGAGAGGAGGTAAATTTCGTCGAAAACGAAAATTGCGGATGAGTGTGTTTGAAGCGCGATTAAGCGCTCGAAAGGGCTATCGGCCGCTCGTCGGGCATGAACATTCGGTACGCGCAATGGCCAACTCGTCTGGCTTGCTTATATCACCGTTTCCCAAAAGTTATACTAGACACGGCCATTTTATGAGAGAGCTTTGACGACTTCGCTCCGCGTTATTCCTTTTCCCCCTTTTTTCCCGGTCACTTTTTATCCTACCCTTGTCATTACCTTTGCCAGTTTATTTTCGCGTTTATTTTACATCTTGTATCTCGGTCCTTTTATTACCTCCGTGCTCTCCAGCCAGTTGCAATTATAATCCTACCCCTTATTTTACCTTCCCATGCACGCATCCTTTTTTCCCCTAATTTTCCTCTCGCTTCCTTTCCTCCGACCTTCCTTCCTTCTCGACCCGCTATCGCGGTAACGGATAAAGCCGTTGAGCTGATTTCGAATTCTTTGCCGCGACAACAAAATCGTATTACATTCATTAAAGGCTGCGAGCCGACTAAGGACACAAAACACCGGAGAGGGTGGCGATGGGTCGGGGGTGGTGGGCCGGGATCGGTGTGCAAGCGCGAAAGGTATCGAGGAGGCCAGACTCTAACAGCGGTCCACTGCACCGGTGGAACAGCGAACCTCCTAACCGCGGTTTGTTACAAGAAGACACGATTTGCAACTGCAATTGCAAACGGAGCCAGCCCCGCCTTACCCTTCCCGACACCGCAGCGAGATCCTCGACGTGCCTGCGGTCCGCTCTCCTAGTCTAAATTTCGTCTACGTCTATCTAGCGATGGCGTCGACCCATCCCGTCCACTCATTCCGTCGAAACTTCCCGGTGCTTTCGCGATGCGTGCAAGCGATGTATCGCAGGTGGTATTTTCGACGTGTCCTTTACGATACTCCCACGGATGTGCACGCTACGCGTAGGTTTGTCTCGCGTAGGAGGTTCTTCTTTTCATCGGGTGAATCCTGTTCCTGAACTTTAACCTATCACAGAGGGAACGTAGGTGTAGAATATTCGGCGCTTTGCCCGAGTACAGTCGCAAAATGTATCTCTCGCGTTGATTACAGCGATCGTGGAATCGCGTAGGATCCGACTGTAACCGATATAAGCCGAGCTGCACTGTTTCCCATTAGTTCGACTCCAACGACCGAACGTTAGTCGCATCCCGTGGTTCGTTCCGCTTCGTTCCTTAGTGTAAAGACAAAAGACAGAATCCAGAGAAACAACCCCCTAGCCTGCCACCTCTCGCGTTCTCTGGTACGACTCTCACCCCTTTCGGTTAGCCGCTATCACAGCTATTACACCGTTTCCCGCATCAGCTCGCGATCGAAGGAAACCGATCAGGATAACGATCGACAGTGGTCCGAATGTATCGATAAGTCGACGCGAGGGTATTGGTCCCATCGCTAGCGGCGGTCGTAGCCGTGTTAGGCTAGAGCTCTTTAGGTATCCAGGGTGGGGTGAGATTGGGCGCAGAACCGGCGTCGGTAATGGTGACTACGTTGGCTGGTAGGTTCGGCGGGGTTAGCAGGGCCGAAGGGAAGGGCGGGGTGACGGCGGCTGCTCGCTGCGGGGGTGCACCGCAAGCTCGAAAGTTGGGAAAAAGCCAAGGAAGGGGTTGTGCTTCGAACGGAGACCCGGTCGAGGGCGCAAGCTCGAGGTTGTCCCTGTACCCTCCCACTCTGCCACGCGATAGGTGGAGCTTCCCTGGCCGCCAATACATGTCCCGGACCCGTGTACGCTACGTGCGTAACCCCAGTCAGTCCTTCCACGTCCGAAAACGCGCGCTCTACGCACCCGGTGCGAGTGAGCTTAGCGCGGGCTCTCCCTGCTCTCTCTGCCGCGCTGCGCTGCGCCCAGCGTAGCTGAACAGGTTCGCCCTTTTCCGCGATTCCACCGAGACGTGGTGCCGATTCGCCCTGGTATTCCAGACATCCCAGTTTTCCCAATTATTCGCCCCTTTCCGGCCACCATCCTTGCCCTTTTGCCTCGGCCTCGCTCCTCGTCGTGGCCCTTCGTCGTGACTTTTCTCACGAACCTCACGAACGCGTGGTTCACGAGGGAAACGGTGATGTTCCGGACCGATTGCGATGGATCCACGAGTCTCTTCTCGTCGGAGGATCTCTCTTTCGTTCTTGCTTCGAGCTTCGCTCCGCTTCTGTTTCTTCTGGTGACTTCGGTCTCACGGGGTTGAGAGTTTCTGGCGGGTTCTGCGTGCATTTTCTACCGCAGGCGCCACCACTGCTGCGCCAATCTCGCTCCTCTAGAACGACAAACTTCGTATCTTAGTCCGTTCCCAGTTGCTCCGGACGACGAGTACGGTGACTGACAGGCTGAAGCTCCGTTCCCGACGATTCCTACGAGTACAGACTGGACAGACGAACCGGGGCACAGTGAGAAACCGCGAAAGTGCGAGGTAATCGACGTGAGAAGGGACACTCCAGTGTATCCTCAGTGAATTTCTATTTCAGAGATGTTCAAGGACAGAACGGGAAAGAACCGAGGGAAAGTCTAATACCTTGTTCACGTATACCTCAGTGTGGTCGCGAGGACTGTTTTCCGAGTCGAATATTTCCTTGTAAATCGATAGATTGGAAAATGTCAGGCGAATTGCTCGAGAAATGACGAGTCGAGGATGAAATTGTGAGACGTCAGTCGATTTTCGGTAGAAAGGGATTACCGTCACAGGTGCATGGATAGGAACACACACGGTTACACGACAGATACACGAGTAATAAGCATCGGTGAAAACTAACGGGTCAGTGAAAGCGTGGAAAATGTGGGATATTTAATGGGATATCGAATGGGATGTCTAGCCCACGCGATTTCCTTTTTATCACCGAGCACATCGTGTTCGTGATACCTTCTACCTCTCGTCCAAGTGAAGCACGATCGTACAAAAGGCTACGAACATAGCAATAACTATAAATCGCGACGGTGTTTGAATGTTCGCGGAAGATGGCGCGTTCGGTTTGACCTAGCACGATCCATTTCTACTTTCCATCGGCTCGCATTGCGCAGAGGGTCGCAATTATCGAAAACATTGCTCGATAATGTCGCAACCATCGCTGCATGCACGTTCGAACGACGAACCTGCGTTCCGATAGCTCTCTTCCTGTCTCACCCTTGGTATTCATTAGACGACCGTCGATGCAATTAAAGATGCAGCGTGTGAATGAACTCTGACATGATCGCAGCGATGGCATTTTAATTGTTCGACCACTGCGCTGCGCGTTTCACTCTCTCTTCCTGTTTGCTGCACATGCCATTGCCATGTACGTGAAATATATTCCAGCCGCGAACCGTTCGTAATCGATCTACGCGAATTTCTTGTCTCTCCGAGTCCTCTAAATCGCCCCTGTTTCAGTCCCCTTTGACGTTGCTTAATTCTTCGACTAAAATGGAGTTCTGTTGCACGACTATCTAATTTTTTGCCGATAGACATTCCGCGAATCGCGAATATACTCTTTTTACGGGTATGTCGAGCTGGTAGGTAGCAAAGTATTTCCATTTGAAAAATAGTCACAGTTTCCACGCAATAGGACGTAAATTACAGACTGGATACGACGACGGGAAACCCGACGAGAAATTTAGGTTCGTTCTAGGCTGGATCGAAGGGAAGTATTTGTTGCTGATAGAAAGTACCGACGTATTTCGTGTGCTCTGCCGAGGTCGTATAGGCTGTACGGCATTTTTCCAAACCCGCCAGCGTGCACGGGAAAGGTGTGCCCGGTAGGCCGATGGCAAATTTCAGCTCAGTCGACGTTGTCTCGGTCAATAGCCAACACGTTCTTCAGGTCTCCGTTGCCTCTCGTTCACTTTTTCACCGAGTTTCTCTCGATCGATCGATTCGAGTGTTGGTACAACTCGCTTTGGTTAGTTTCTTCTCGCAATTACTGGCACACTCCGTTTCGCTCGATGTTGCGCACCACTTTCGTTTTCTTCGCTCTCCTAAATTTTTCCACCGAATTTTCAACGAACTTGGAGACATCCGCTACGGTGTCAGACTTTTCTCTCGTTTCGTATGGTATTAACGCGACTGTCGCGTGTTCGGGGTACATAAATAATCGTCGGGAAGCAGGTTCGCGATCGGTAAAGCACCCATCTTAAAACCTTTGTCTGAAACACGGTGTCGTTTCGCGGTTCCCGGGCGAAAGGTTTTCAAGGATCCTCGAGCGGCATGTCGTTCTAAAAAACAAAGATTTTCTGACCGCGACAGCTCGAAGCACGCGTGGAAAGGAGAGAAAGAGAGTGAGAGAGATAGAGAGAAAGGGAGAGAGTGAGTGTGCGAGAGAATAAAGGAGAGAGGAAACGAAAAAAAGAGCAAGATCCCCCCTATCGAGGAAACTCTCGCGAGGACCGTCGAGGCTTGACAGTGTTCCTTTCGAATTCCAGATCAAAAGTAAGTGCGCGCGTGTGGTTCATGTGTGTATACATGTGCCATCATCCGCGTGAGCGATAAGCGGGAGAGAAGAGGACTCGGGCCAACAGAAGCCGGAACCAAAAAATGGATGCGACGTCACTGCGATTCATTTCCGGACTGCTTTTGTTCGCCTACACCGCGTCACACACTAGTAAGTCATTTTGCTTAATAAAACTACCATTTTTCTTTCTCCACGCATGCGGATGTGTCTGTCTCTGTTGCGTTCCTGGCCCTTTGTGTCACGAAACGGCCCGCTTTCCGGAAGAGGCGACCACCTCCTGCGACCATTGTGTGTCGCTTCGATATATTCCGCGACCATGGATCGATGAATACGAAAATAACCGCGTTTCAGTAGTCCAGATTTAAGAGGGGGAGTTGAAAAGAAAATTGACCATCCTCTGATTCGAGAAACTTTGCTCTATCATCACCGGAGAGAGAAACTCCGCGTGGATCTAGTTAGTAGACGTTAGCTAAGTGAAAATTAACACTGGAACCAGCGCGTGTTAATCGTACATCTAAATTTCGTTTGTCGAACTAGACTCGTCATAGGCCGTTCATAATTACCGTCACAGAACTAATCACTTCTAGTTACTAGAAGTAACTATATCTAAGTTTCGCTGCTTTGGAAGTCGCGTAGCGTTAAGTACAAAGTTATTGCAGCAACGCGTCGCCATTTTTGTGAAGCAAACGCGATCCAGCGGAACCGTGGACTGCGTAACACGTGTTCATATCGCGGCTATGACATTGGATACGAATCGTGACACGATTCTCGATACTCGAGTCCGTTTTGTAAGCATTTCGATGAGCGCGTCGATTTTCGCTCGCTGGGAGCGTTCTTCGTTCCCGCCATGAGCCGTTCGGGCGAGATCGGGCGCGGTCGGGTGGACTCGGCTGCGATCGGGCAACCGATCATGGCGCGTTGCGCGCCGGTGGCGCGCTTCGATTAAACTGGCTGTCGTTAATTGTCGGGAATAACGTGCCGCGTATCGACGTCGTGGCGGTTATGGTAATTTCAAAACTTTGAGCGATTTAGAAGGTAAATTGCTAAGGGAAACGAGGACGTGGCACGGCGGACCGAGGCAACGGTGGAAAGACGGCAGCAAATGCGTCGCCGTAATTGCATAATGGCCCTGGTGTGTTCGCGTCGAGATACGAAGCCCTGGCCTGGTTTTTACTCGAGGACTTTCACTCCGCATCACTGGATCTTCCTCTCTCTCTCTTTCTCTCTCTCTCTCTCGCATCCTCTGTTCCCTTATTCGTCTCTCTCGGTTCGCCTCCCTTCGTGTTTCTCTTTCGCTCTTCCTTATTTTATTCCACGCTTCCTTTGTTATTCCCTCGCCATTTTATTCTCTCTGTCTGCCCGTTTTCATCTCCGTACTCCCGTCATGCCTCTCTCCGCGGCCCTCTGCCGTTTAGACGTATCGTTATTTTTATTTTTCCACCGCTCGCAGTTGCATAATTTCGTGTTTTAAGTCGAGAAGACTCGTGTCCGCCATTTGTCGAGTCTCCGTTCCGTTTCGAACGCTCGCGAGCCGCAACTCGCATCTCCGTCCGTTCCTAACCTCAATAAGCAGGTACGGCCCGTCGATACGAGACGTGGGAAGATTCGGAGGCGACACCCGGTATATAAGGAACCGGCGGTTACTCGGTATTAGTCGGTTTCGAGTACGAAATATTGTTTCTGAAGATCCCGCCGCTCAAATTGCCAGCATTTAGCGGCTTATCTGGATTATCGTTTCCCCATGCACGGTCCGAGGGAGCGTTTTCCGTGGGGTAAAAACGCGGCGCGTTACCGATGGAGCGCGCTTTTCGAAATTCCCTGTGTTTTCTCTCTGCGCACCGATTTTTCCTTTCCCCTTTCGTCTGCGAAGGATTAAACGGTGGAAAGGATTAGAGGCGTTTTTTCTCCTTTTTTTCTTTTCTTCCTTTTCTTTCTTTTCCCTCGTTTAATTCCTTCTCTCTATCTCTCTCTGTTTTCCTCCCTCGCCCTTCGGCCGCGGTCTCTACAACGGAAATAATTTCAGACGATGAGGAGCGTAAATTCAGCGTGGAAAAGAGAAAATAGGAAGAATTTGAAGATAAACTCGGGGCTGGTTTAATGAGTCGCGTTGAAACGGTATCGAAGGGACGTCGTTTTGTGGCCGTGCATCGATTCGCACTGGGATCGTTAATTGATTACAGAGCGCGATATTTGCTCTATTTCTTTGCGTACAGGCACACGCGGATGAACGTTTAACGTTTGACCTACTTTGCGGATAATTTGAAAGGCTTCTCACGCGTTCCAAGGTCAATCGTGCCCTCTCGAAATTTTACCTTGGGATTAGAACCGATCGGTTATTTATTCGCAGACGTTCCCGGGGATTGTACATATTTGTACGGTGGTAATTCGTCCGACGTGCACCTCCGTGTGTTTCGCCGCGATACAGCCTTCAGGGTTGATATCCCGAGTATAAATTACTTTCCATAGAAACGAGGAACGTTTTCGTAATAATATCTCATTTCTCGGTTAAAAGGGAACCATTTCCTCTCGAAATGAAATATTTTTCTCGAATTTCTCCTTGAAAATTCTCGTTAACGACCAACCAGCTACGCTCAAAGGCTCTTCTCGCTCCTTTCTTCGTCGCGAACTTGTAAGGTATATCGCGAGTATATACTTCATACCCTCGTAATGTCTAAAGCAACGACTGTGACCGTCATACGGGGCTGCTTGGTTCGTTACGTAAACGCGAAAAATTATTTCGTCGCTGAAACTCGCTTTTTCCCGTCTGCCAGACTCGATGAAAATCCCGCTGTTCTTCCGGGACACCTGGTACACGTCGGTACACAGGGAGATGGGACAGGATGCGCACATGTAGCTTCCAATAAAGCTCCGCTCAAGTGCTCGATCGGCACTCGACGAATCTCCAATCGGACAATACTCTCATGGTACGTCCATCTGAAATAACCCATAAGGTCTCTCGAGTGTGCGTCTATATAGGGAGCGGTAAAGCCTCGTGGCACGGTTACGAGTATCCGTTGTACAAGTAGCGAAGCTACGGTTTTTATCTTCTTTGCCAGGGATTACTTCCGGGTCAGCAGCCAAGCCCGATTGTGTTCGCTCCACAAGCTTACAGATTACCGGACACACTCGTCTCGCGGTAACGCGATGCGTATCGCGTGTAATCCGCCGATTCTCCGGACACACGCATCCGCTTTTCCTTCCTTTCAATTTTTTTCCACCCCTTTCCCGAGTTTCCGTCACTTCCGCGAGGAGGTAAGTCGATAAACGAGCGAGCGCAGAGAATATTCCATACGAGAGGCTCCATGGGTATTATTTCGAGTCGATAGTCGCGGAAACGACTTTGTACTTGGCGAAAATACGAATTCGTTTAGTACCGTTCGTTTGGAATATCGGATTGCATCTCGGCATGCTTCGCGATAGGTTCACGATGGGATCGGGATGTTAGGGGAAATACGTGGATGTCTAAACGTTCCAAACCGAAGGATTCGGTACGAGGGGTGTGCGTGAGATTCGCGTAGATGGGAACCGGGAACGAGAACAGAATCGGACACGGTGATTGCGAGGTTACGCGACCGTTCGTTGCAAAAGTAATCGAGCTATTTTTTTTCCCTTTTTTTTTTTTATCTTGCTTTCCCGTGGGATTACTTCCGGTTCAACGAGTTCCGCTCAGTCGGGTTCAATCTCCGTACTCTGTGTCAGATTACAGAGTACTCGCCGTAGTAACATCTATAGTAACACGTGTGTAGTATGTAAACTCGGGGTACGCGTGCGCGTCTATGGACCAGTCGCCCATATGCATAAAGCGGGTGCATATACCGGTGGAAAAACGCCCACGTTCGTGTGCGTTCGATGCATATCAGGGCCGTGCGATCTTTATTCCCTTTCTTCGATCGAGATCGTATCGCGACTACGAATCCTTTCGATTCCATCGGTTATTATTCTACGCGAAACGCATGTCGGTATCGAGCTCGTGGAGTATTTTAATTCAGGATACGCCATATCTAAAGCATACTACTTTCTGATTAAATTTCCTCGTAAAGGAGGAGGGGTGCAGCGATTCGCGATTTCGAATCTAAGAAATTTTAATATGGAGATATTTTAATAATATTTTATACAAGAAAATTGCGTATTCAACGTTCTTGCTTTGAAATTGGCAATTTAACCAGCTTTGGTAGGCAGAAAATAATTTTGATTTTTATTTCGATCGTAGTCAGAAATTGTACCGATCATCCTCAATACTGGACCTAGCATGATTGGTGAAATGACTAACGAATGAAATAAAGAACGAAGAAGATTCTTAAAAAAATTGGGAAATTGATTATTCACGTGGACAAGTGATCAAATGCGATGACGTTAAATTGAAATAGTCATTTAAATCGTGGTTAGGTTAGGTTTAGTGTTAAACACATATCGCGACATACTGGACAGACCAAAGTTACTAACAATACTTAAATTAAAAAATAAATGTCATATTTAAATGCTAACTTTCCGTACCATTATCTCTCGTCTCTCTGACATTATACAACAGGCATTGGTTGCATCGTTCTCATAACCTAAATGGACAGATCACTGCCCAGTGCCGCGCTCAACGTATTAATATATATTAGTAACTGTTTAAAAATAAGGAAAGGAAAAAAGGGGGAAAAAGGTCCTTTTCATTCGATCGTCGAAACGAGAATGAACCGTGGAGCGCGGCGCCGGGCACCCTGAAACTTAAGTAGCTCCCACCAAGGTGTCCAGGGTGGGGGCATCGTTTCGACGCTGTGTCCCCTCCGCGACGCCCGACAGTAGTATGGGGGGCGTCGTTCCAGCGCTCAGACAGCGACGTCCCCACCGTGACGCGTAGCAAAGAGCGCCTCACCGTCCCGACGCCACTGTGGAAGTGGAATAGGTCAGCCGGATGTTCCGAATCAACCGTATAGATACTATTATTTCTATACATTTTCAAACTTTCCATTCTCCTGCGTCCTCGTATCCATTATCTACCCCCTGTGAAATTGTTAACGCGTAGGGTACACAAGAACGTCCACCTTCGAATTTAATATTTCGTTGAAGCATACGAAATTTTACTCTAAAATTGGTGGATTTTGAAGTCTTTAGTTTCCCATTTATCCGATGGCCTGGTTAAAATTAATATTCGATGCATACAA